TCTAATTATTCATTTACTTTTTATTTTAAAAAATGCATATTTCAATAGTTTTATAATATTTTTTCATAATATATTAATATTTATTAATAAATATTAATAATATATGTATTAATGTCATTCGTAATATTAATATAACATTAGTAACAGTCAATTATCAATATTATTATTGTTATTACTTACAAAATGCGATTTTATAATAAGAAAAAATCCAATATAGATTAAATAATCGTTTCAATTCTTTTTAAAATATAAAATGCAAATTTTAAACATCTGTTGAAAATGTGTGTTCAAACAAATTAAATATCAACTAAGTTCTACCAAAAAAATTCCGTCTATAACAATACTCCAAGAATATCATTTAGAATGTATTATTTAATATTAATTGTGATATTTTATTTTCTTTTTACTGTAAATTACCAATTTTTAAAATTTTAAAACAATATATATTACAGATATCAATACAAATGTTCTACCAAACAAATTCTGTGCGTATACTCGTAACTTCACGTTTGAAAAACGTAATAATTCTTTTTAGTCTTAAAATAAATTTTATAAACTGCTCTTTTTCTTCTCTAATGTCTTTATTAAATTTTTTCAATTTTTTGATAGGAATTTTCAGGGATATAATGTTTCAATTTTTATTTGGCAATAATGCGAGAACTCGTATATTTTCGTGTATATTACAAATTAATCCCGGACCATGTACACAAAATAAGTCTCTTACTGTGCATTTTAAATAAGTTTTAAATTTTCTTCAGCCATAGGTACTTATGCTCTTCTTCTTGACTCTAGCCTTTCTGAAAATTTATACAAATTGTAGTTTAAGAACTAACGCAGAAAAATAAACGAAAAATGAATAAAGAATGTATGAATAATAAGAAAATCTTTAACTATGTATATAGAATCTCAGAGCGTGATATCCCTTTACAGACAAACTTCGGTGAATATGTATCAGGAGACGCGGTAATGGCTCCGGCCATGTTCAAAAATAAGAGACACTACAAGTCTCTTATCCCGCACCAAAGTCCATTTTTGGAGGTTGCATAACTAATAAAATATAAAAAATTTTGAATCGGACGTAACATATTTTGAAGGCGGCATCGTCACGAGTAATTT